TCCGCGAACTTTTTACGCGTATTAAATTTCATCAAAACATATGATAATTAAGACAATTTTGCCATCAACAACTAGTACAAAACACTAAGAAATTATAATTGAAAATGGCTGACTCTACTCCAAGAATCGATGGTTCTTTGCTAGAACAATACAAAAACCGTACTGTCCGTGTGATTGGTAAAGTGGAACAAATTGATGGCTCAAATTTAAAATTATATACACCAAGTGATAATTCAAATAATTTATCAATAACAGTTAGTACAACTCCTGATCTAGAATTTCAACAAGGTATATGGTATGAAATTATTGGTAGAGTCTTGGACAATTTAACTTTAAGAGCTATTGATATACAAAATTTTGGTGAAAATATAAATGAAAAAGCTGTTGCTGGTTTAGTTAAATATTCAAATAAATCATCAGAAATTTTTTATGAATAAAGAAATGAGAAGAATTGTAAAGTATAAATGTTTTTTTTAATGAATGTTTTATAATGTGATGATAGACTACAAAAGAAGGATGACTTGTTGTAAGAAAAACCAAAGTATTATATTTTATTATTTTATATATTATAGTCTAAATCAAAGATAAATGAATGGTAATAAATCAATTTGCAGTACTAGTAATTGCTGGAGTCATTCTTGAAACTGGTCTTAAACGATCTTTTGGATTATACCAAGGAACTTGAGTTGGATTTGCAGCAGGACTTGCATAATTAATATCAGAACTCATTGTATAATTCCAACCTGGTGTAATTGTTGATTCAACACTAACTTCATTTTTAATTTTGGAAAAATATGAAACAGCTGAAGTGTCATAACGTCTTGACCATTTTGTTTTAGTAATGGTTGAACCTGGTTGAACTTGCATTGGTGCATATTTTGTTAAACCATTTTGTGAAGTATAATGAATATCAAATGACAATGAAATTAAATCACGTTCAGTGGTAAATGTATGACCATTAGCTTCTAAAGAAATTTGTCCATCTGGTGGAACTGGATCATTACCATGAGCTTCTTCTGTACCAGTCATACCTTCTAAATTAAATCTTTGAGAATAATTAATTGTAAAACCTCTTCTTTTAGTTGCAGCATAAATTTGAATAAAATATGGACCATCTGTACCAATTGAAGCAGGAACTTCCAAGATATAATTATCATCTTCAATTTCATCATATGCAATTTTTTTTAAAGATCTAATACCTTGAATATCATTATTTGTACCTGTACAAATTGTAAATGTTAATTCATCAAATTGACTAAAATCTGGTTCAACTCTTGAATCTTGCCAATCAACTTCAATTCTAACAACACCATCTCTTGCTCTAAAAGTTTGACCTTTTAGAGGTTTCGCAATGGCAATATCACCTAATACTGTTGATAATAATAAGGGGATTATTAATAAATAAGATAATAATTTCATCTTTGTTTAATGTAATTGATATCTACTTGAAACAACAACAAGTATATAATAGAAAGAATGATTTTGAACAATTTTAAATATATTTAAATCATTTCTAAAAGATTAGCTTAATTAGAAAATCTTCTCTTTATTCTCATAATTCTTTAAATGTAGCCTTGTACCTAAAGGTTTTCGGTATATGAGAATATTATTGTATAGTACAGTATATCAAATATGAAGAAAAAGATCTTCATCAATTTTACTTGGTAAATACTATAGACACATAGCAAATAGTAAGGATCATCAAGGTGAATTGAAGTGATTACTTAGGTTTGTATTGTACTGTTATAGACCATTGGCTTGTACTATTGACCTAGATATAGTATATGTTATAAGCTTTTCGTTAATACTTTTTAGTTGTGTTCAATTCAAAATGAAATCAACTAATTAATTTCTCAATAATATTTAACAAATATTCTCATTGAGCAGGGGAGAACAGCGTGCTATGGTATTGGAAAGTCTCTTCGTTCTTTCTTATTTAGTCGATGTATATGATACAAAACTCGTTCTTTTTCGGGGATTATATTATTCTCAATATATACCAAATTTTGTATGATGCACAAAAGTAGTAAAAAATATTGATCAGTACATTGGGTAAAGATCATATGTAATCTTTGCAATCGAATATATCATATAATGTTGGTATCATATCATGTTGATTGATTTCTTGACTTCATATACAATTATTATTTCAATTCTACAATGTCATACAAAATGGATTTAATTTAAACAAAAATCAAATAAACTTGTATTATATTCTCCTTAATTAATATGAAAAATGATTGCTTTTTTTTAAATATATCCTACAGTATATATAATAAACGAATTAAAATTGAACAAATAATGTATCTTTATAAATCACTTCATTTTGATGATGATGAAGAAGCACGATTTGGATTTGAAGATAATGTAGCAGATTTTAATTTTGATTTTGGATTATACCAACCAACAGCAGATGGATCACTTGCAACACTTGCTTGATTAATTACAGAACTAATTGTATAATCCCAGCCTGGAGTAATTGTTGATAAAACTGATGGAGATGGTTTAATTGAACTAAAATAAGAAACTGCAGAAGTTTGAAATTTTCTTGACCAAGTAGATTTAGTAACAGTAGTACCTGGTTGAGTTTGCATTGGAGCATAACGAGTTGGACCAGTTTGTGAAGTATAAGCAACACTAAAAGATTTTGACATTTCTTCAGGTGATAAAGTTGAAGAAGTACTATCACCACCTACAGAAGTTTGACCTGAAGGTGGATCACCAGAACCACTAGCTTTTTCAGTACCAGTCATACCTGTTAATTTAAAACGTTGTGAATAATTGATTGTATAACCATCATCTTTTGTAGTTGAATAAATTTGAATATAATAACTACCACTTGCACCAACATCAGCAGGAATACTTAAAGTAATTTTTTTATCAGAAAGTTCATCACTTGTTGCCTTTTTAATAGTTTGTAACCCATTAATATCAGAATTTGGACCAGTACAAATAACAAAACTCATTGATTCGATATCATCAAGAGTTGGTTCTGCATTTGATTCTGTCCATTCAACTTCAACAGAAACTGTACTACCACTAACAGCATATGATTTCCCAGCAGATGGTGAAGATATGGAAACATCAGCAATAACTGAAGATATGAATATTAAAAATGTATAGTATAAGAACAGCATATTGTGACTTGACTTGATTGATTCTTTTTCTATATTGTATTATGAGCCTTTAAAATGCTAGGTTATTTTGACACTAATTAAGCGAGAATTTGGTACCTGAAAACTGAGACGTAAGTGCAGGAAACCTATTCAATTTGATCTAGATCCGGTGGTATGTGGGTGTACTTGGTGATGTTCCAAAGTTCAAACGAATGATTGTTAATGGATTTTTAAAAGGTTTTGTTTTCACCAAATCACCAATGTAAATATGAATATATTATAGATATCTTTAGGTTTTTGTTGAAAGTATTAAATTCAAATCAATTTCACAGCCTTTCAAAATATTTAAAATTGCCAAAAATTTGTCAGTTGTGCTTTTTTTGGCACTGAAAATACTGCAAAAAACGAAAAAAATTAAAATTGGCGTTAAAAATGTGTCCCCATTACCGTGTCTTGGTGATCTATTACTTCATTGGGTAATATTCCTGATTCGGATATATTTTTCATTATTTATTATGTCATGATTATGTAATTCAAGAGGGTAACACTTTTGGTCGCGGCCGTCGATTTCCGCGAATTTTATTTTCTTCGCGAATTTTCCAAATTCATTGATACCCATTGACTTTTTTTTCAATATTAATGGTGGAAAAGACAATTTAGATCTAGAGTTCTTTTGTTCAATTAAACCACTTCATCCACATCAAAATGCTTTATTTAAAATCCATGCTAAAAGTCATAGACAACTCAGGTGGTCTAATGGCTGAATGTATTAAAGTTTTACGTAAATCTCCAAAAAATTATGCTTCAGTTGGTGATAAAATTGTTGTTGTTGTTCAAAAAGCAAGACCTGCAACTTCTATGATTACTGGTGCTTCTGCTTCAAATAGAGTTAAAAAAGGTGATATTGTTCATGCCGTAGTGGTAAGAACCAAACAAAATGTTATTAGACCTGATGGTTCAGTTATGAAATTTGATGATAATGCTTGTGTCTTGTTGAATAAAAATAATGAACCTTTAGGTACAAGAATTTCTTCAGTTGTTTCAAGACAATTAAAAGATAAAGGTTATAATAAGATCATTTCATTAGCTCCAAAAGCTGTATAAGATGATGATTTTGATTATAATAATATTAAAGTAACAAAGTTCTTATAAATATTTCTTGTTTTTAGTATCACGGGTTTGGGTTGGTTTTTTCATTCATGTACACATTATAAAAATTTTAGATTTATTCATTGTATTTCATTCATTAGCTCATGTATATATATATAAAATTATAATGGAATATTAAATCTAGATTTTATCCTTTTGTCTTTCTTTATGTAAATGACTCAACTAATCCATATAATTTATTTATTAATCCACTACTTTTCTCATTTATTTCATTATTAAAATTCATTAATTTTAAATTATCTTGATCATTCTCAAATCTTAATAATTCAAATGTTGAATTAACAATATTTTTCAATTTTAAAATATTTTCATTATTATAATTTTGAGAAACCAATCTTGATATCTTATCATTTAATTCAATTTCAATTTCTTCAATCTCACTACCATTTGTTCTTATAGGTTCTATATGATCTAATTCTGGTGATGAAGGTAAACTTTGTAAATTTGGAGTTGATTGATTTTGCTTTGATATTCCTTGAATTTCAAATTCTAAATTTTTTTCATGATAAATTTCATCTTCTGGTGTGGGTAAATATGACTTTGATTTTTTTTGAATGAATTTAGGTTCTTTTAATTGTTTATGTTGTGATTTATTTATATGATTTTGTAAAAATTCTAAATTTTGTATAACTTCTATATTAACATTCTCAAATTGTTGAAATTTATTATTAATTTCAATTGAAAGTTGATCATTCCAACTTAAAAGATTATTGATTTTTTCAATTGATTCTAATACTTCTTGATCATTACCTTCTCTCTGTATATAATTTTGAGTTGATTCTCCAAAATTTTCTTGATTTATATAATCATTTTCATGTTCAATATAATAATTTTGATTTTTTTTTGATACATCATTTTTATTACTTGATTCAAAACTTTCAAATTCACTATCAAATGAGGTGGACATTATGAGATGAATGATTGATATCTAGTCTAAGATATAGCTTTCTTTTTCAAAAAAGTTGTATTGATCTTTCTAATTTCAAAATTAATATTCATTTCAAATTCAAGTTATGCATTGAAAAATCGGAAACTTTTTCTGTACGAGATTAATCGGGTTTATAAAAAAATATGCACGTTAAATGTTTGTTTACAAAACATTGGAATTTTCTATACAAAACAAAATAAAAACAAAGAATGTGATGTGTAATAAATAAAAAGGTAATAAATAAATAAATAAATAGATGAATATCTCGAGAATGTTGGGTTTTTTTTTGGTGATTTAGGAAAAAGGTAGGTTTTCTCATGATTTATTACCTCCACTCATCAATTTTTCTAATTCATCTTCAAAATCATTCGTTCTCTTTGTTGATATCCCATTGATTTTTTCTCGATCCAATGAATCATCTTTCTTGGGTTGCTATTCAGTATATGTTAGTACATCAACGACGTTCATCTTAAAAAAATTCCATTAATACATACCTCTTCTATAGGTTTAACTCTTGTTTTAGCAATTGATAATTGATCCCCTAAAATATTCAAAAATTCATCATTTATATTATATGTTCTTTTTAATTCATCTCTTGATCTTGTTTCAATATCTTCAATAATACCAACTAAAGTACTTGGATGAACAGTTTGATTTGTCTTGATTTCATTAGTATTAGACACTGATTCTTTTCGCTGTTTAGATAATTCATCTTCTCTTTTCTGTCTATTTCTTAATGCTATCAATGTTGGATGCTATTTTTGAAGTCAGTATTATTAGCTCTCTATTATTTAAATAAGAAGTAAATAATACTCACATTTTCATCTAATGTTAATGGAATCTCTTCAATCTTTATTTGACCAATTTTATCAGCATTCTTATTATCAGCATTTGCTGAAAATTTTTGTCTTTGAGTAATAGTATTTGGATCTAATCCAATATGATCTCTTTGAAGATGTTGTTGTAATTTAATATTTTGTTGTTTATTTGATTCAAGATTTGTTGATGCTCTTGTTATATTTGGTAATTTCCTTGCTTGTTTAGATCCTGAATTACCCATATTGTTCAGGCTTTAATTATGTACAGATTATCTATAGCTCATATATTATCTGATTCATAATATTTTTGATCCTTTAAAGTCTTAATCAATACAAATTGTCTCTATGAAATGAGTAATTGAGAAACTTTGATCTGATAAATTTGTGGGGCCATTATATAGTGGTGTCTGGGTGTATGTATATCTGATTATATAATCACAATAGAAAATTATAATTTAATTTATTAAAGTACATTTATATTTCAATTAATGATTAATAAAACTGGTATGTATATGGTTTAATACTATCAGAATTGGTGAATTTTTAGGATCTCTACAAAATTTGCCTAAATTCCAAGTTTTTTTTTTGGAAATTTTTAGTTTTTCAAATATTAAATTGAAATAAAATTTTACTAAGTGAACATTTTTAAAGTTTCAAAAATTTACAGTAAGAGTTCATCAATATTATATGCTTATCTGATAGACACTACTCTGTATTATATATAAATATAAAAAAAAATATAAATTACTTTCAATAACCATATAATAATTAACAATTGAATAATTTAAGCTTCGGATTTGCATCGGAAAGTACAGATATTATCGGAGTTAAATTTTTAATATAATTAAGCAGCTGCTCACAGACTGATCAATAATTTGATGTCGATTTAATTATTCATTGTTAGACTTTCAAACTAGATCAGACTTTAAGAATGATCATCTTAAATCTTAAGAGCATATACACACTATCATACTGTCACTATACTCTCAGCCTGAATGAATAATGATCTTGATAAGTGATCGTTGGTCGCCAATCTTTCCTATTGTGGTTGCTCATCCACACTTATCACTTATCTATTAAAGTCAAGCCATATACTATAATGAATCAAAATCGATCAAAAGCAGCCACTTTTTAGCTGTCACAAGGACAAGGCAGTCGGGACCACTAAAAGCTTGCTCAGATCGGATGCACCAGGTTATAATTCGATTGTCGTTTGACTCCAGTATAAAAGGTAAAAGATGCCCACTAGGTTTTAATAAAGGGTTATTTAAAAACTATTATCCACAAACAAACAAGATGAGTGACGAAGAAAATCTAAGATCTATTAATGATAATTATGAACCTAAAACTCAAATAATCTTTCCAAAATTATCGTTTAAAGAAAAATTAGGATTATTCTTTAGTAAAGAAGAACCTCCAAAACAACCAAAGACAGAATTTTTTTGGTGGCATCCACCAAATCAATCATCAAAAGAGAAAAAATTAGTATTTAAATTAGATGTTTTCATATTAACATATACATGTCTTTCATATTATGTTAAATATCTTGATCAATCAAATATATCACATGCTTATGTTTCAGGAATGAAAGAAGACTTGGGTTTACATGGTGCTCAATATAATTGGATTGGTAATTGTTTTACAATTGGTATTGGTATTGGTGGATTATTAAGTTTATTAATCACTAGATTTTCACCAAATATTATATTACCAACTTTTGAAATTATATGGGGTACACTTTGTCTTGTTTTATATAAGGCAAATAGTTTTAAATATTTAGCAGCTGTTAGATTTTTCCAAGGTTTAGCTGAAGGAACTGCATGGGCTATAGCTCATTTGATTTTAGGATCTTTGTAAGTTAGACTTATCAAGTTTGTGTGTATCATATTACTAACACTATGATAATTAGTTACAATAAAAATGAATTGGCAAGACGTGCAGGACTTTTCGTATCAAGTGGGATGATTGGTTCTATGTTTTCAGGTTATTTCCAAGCTGCAGTTTATAAAAATTTAAATGGTAAAAATGGTATTGAAGGTTGGAGATGGTTATTTATTATTGATTTCATTGTTACAATCCCTGTTGCAATTTTAGGTTATATTGTATTAATTCCAAATAATGCAAAAAAAGTTTGGTGGTTAACATCTGAAGAACTTCAATTATCAAAAGATCGTATGAAATTTAGAGGTGAAAAACCAAATGATGTTTGGGATTGGAAAGCTGTTAAAAGAATTTTATCATCATGGCAATTTTGGGTTTTCCCAAGTGCTTATGTTTTATGGGATCTTTCAGGTCAAGGTGGTTCTTATTTTGCAATTATTATGAAAGGTTTAGGTGGTTATTCAGTTTATCAAATTAATACAATTCCTACTATTCAATCAGTATTTAGAATTATAACTTCATTGGCTTCAGGATTTATAATTGATATTACAGCGAAAAGATGGCATAGTTTCCTTGGTCTTATGATTTTATGGTTAATTGGATTATCTATAGTTGTTGCCTGGGATGTTTCAAGAGCTGGATTATTTTTTGGTATCATATTATTAGGTGTTTCAACTCCAATATCTCCATTATTTGCAGGTTGGATTAATCAATCAGCTCAAGAAGATGTCCAATTGAAAACTGCTACAATGAGTGTTATGAATTTATTTTGTTCTTTATTAGAAATCCCATGGAATGTTAAATTATTTAATACAGATTATGCACCAAGATATTATAATGCTTATAGATGGTGTTTGGGATTAAATTCAATATTATTATTATACGTACCATTAATTTTATTATTTGATAGATATCAAAATAGGAAAAGAGGGTTATATAAAATTGAAACTACAAAATCAGATGGATCAATAACAGTTAGAGGATTTTTTGATGAAGAAGAAAATGATGATAATAGTGATAAATCAAGTACAACTTCAGTTACCAAGAATACAACAGTTGTTCAAGTTAGGAGTACAAGTACTTAAGGGTTTAATAATTATTTTAATGATCATTAATAAAACTACAAAAATTATATTATTTATATATGAACATATCGTAAGTCATTATTCAATCTTCTTAAACAGAAAAAAAAAACTAAAACAGAAATAAATATCGTCAAAATTTTTATTAAACTCATCAATGTTTTGGAAATCTAGATTTCAAGTCTTGATATTCACGCATAACTCTTGTAATTGATTGATTTAATTCAACTAAATGAACTGCAACTGCATTATCTTTTTGTAAACCATAATCATAAAGATCCATATTAAAACTTGATTTAAATATAAAATTTGTAAATTCTTGATCTTTATTAACTCTTAAATCAAGATATCTTGATAAAAATCCTTTTAATTTAATAGCTCTAGTTTGAAATTCATCAAATTCACGACGATAACGTTGCCAATCATTTAAATCTTTAATTATATTTGAAGGTTCAGGTAATTTATAAAGTTGAAATTCTTCAATTCCCAACATTTCATTTTCTAATCTTGGTACATTTGAATTTCTTTGCTTTTTCAGTTTTTTACCTTCATTTAAATCTTCATTTGATTCTTCTAAAGCTCTTGTAAAACCTTTCATTTCAAAATTACCATTTGTTTGAGTTAATGGTGTTGTTTTCTTAAAATCATCAAAATTCATTGAGTTTATTCCTCCTCCTGTTGATGATGCTGATGAATTTGGACGATTTCTTGAAGGTGGTTCAGCTGGAGGTGGTGATGGTGAATTACTTTGAGTTTTTTGTTTTTTAAAATTTGGTGGACCATTTGAACGGAATGTTGATTCATCAATTTCAACTAATTCATCTTCTGATTCTTCATCTTCAAAATTACCTTCATCTTCTCTAGTTTCTTCAAATCTATATTCAAATTTATTTGATTCTTCTAATGAAGTTCTTGGAGGACGACCAGAAGCAGTTTGAAATTTTGGAGTATTTGAACCTGAATTTGTTCCATTACTCAATGATGGAGATCTTGAATTTGAAGGTATACCAGATCTTTCATTTCTATTAACATATTTATTTTGTGTTCTAATATTTCTTGGAGTTGATTTAGTTGATATATCAATATTATCAAATTCAAATTTCAGAGGTGTTGATTGATTTTTTGAAGGATTTGACATATTTTCAAATAATTCATTAATTGATAAAGTAGTACGTGGGGGTTTCTTTGGAATAGAATTTGAACTTGCACTTGAAGTTAAATCTGATATTGGGTTTGGACCTGAATTTGGACCTGGATTATCTTTTGTAGGTGGTTTTTCCATATTAGTTGGATAAATTGGAATATCAGATTGAGGTGGAGGTTGTGGAGGTTGTTGCTGTTGCTGTTGTTGCCGTTGTGATTTAGAAGATGTATTTGCATTTGATTGAGGTGGTGATGGATGATGTGAATTTTGATGAATATTTCCACCAGGTGATGATGATGAAGGTACATATGAAGTTTTAAAATTAGTTTTTTGTTTTTGCCATGAATTTGGTAATGGATCCACAGGAACTGATGGAACTGAAGTTGAACCTTGTGTATATCTAAATGATGAATTTGCAGATGGAGGTTGTTGAGGAGATGGTCCATTTGCATGTGGTGGAATAAATGGCGGTGGAATAAAAGGACGCATTGGATTTGGTGGAAGGTTTGATGGATGAAATCTAGATGGTGGAGCTCCATTGTTCGGTACCCTCACATTATGAGGAGGTATATTTCCATCCGGTGAATATTGTGTGTGTGAAGTTGTATAATTGGGTTGATTTCTTTTTTTGAAAAATTTACCACCAGTATTGTTATTGCTATTGTTATTATTATTATTATTATTATGCCCTGCTTTATTGAAAGTACTTCCATTTCTAACATAACCAGGTGAAGCACCATTTGTTGAATTGTATGAAGTTTTAGAAGATGTAAAATAAGTTTTATTATTTGAAAAAGAATCATAATGAGTTTGTTGATTTCTTCTATATGCAAAATCAAAATCATCATCATCATGTGTGAATTTATTATTATTTGCACTTGGTGGTTGTCTTGGAACAGAACCCGAAGTATTAAAATTTCTTGAATTTGATGCAGAAGGAGGTGGAGCAGGGAAAGCTGGACCACCATGACGTTGATGGGGAAAATTATATTGAGCATTATGATTATAAGGACCTCTTGTATAACCACCATATTGATGAGACTCTGTATGTGTGAATGTGTTCGGAGGAGGAGGAGGAGGAGGATAAGATCTTGGACCAGGACCAGGACTAGGGCCTTGTCTTTTAAATTGAGGTGCGACGGACATCAGTTGAGTTAAAGATAAGTCATATTCCTTTTTCTTCTGAGGATTTGTTAGAACATCATAAACTTCCACCAATTTCTTGAATATCTCATCACTCTCTGGAGCTTTAGATTTATCTGGATGATGTTTCAATGCCAATTTTTTATATGCTTTTTTAATTTCATCTTGGGTAGCATTTTCCTTGACTCCTATGAAAGTGTAGTGATTTAGCATCATAGCAGCAGCAGCGAGACACGGAGCAATAGAGCCATAAACCAGCCCGAGCACAATTCCAATTGAAACAGAATAACAGAACAAAGACTCCTGATTAAAACCGCTAGCAATGCGTGTATCAAAATATAATTGACAACTTGTAATTTCTTCCATTTTGTTGTTTTGATTTGAATGTTTTTAAAAAATCGCGATCCATAAATTAATTCGCGAAAAAGATTCAAAAATTGATTACATAATCGGAGTTCCGCGAATTGGTGTTTTGCATTTTTGCGCTGGTTCCAATTTCTTCTATCAAAGACTTCTGGAAAGCGGTTTGGATTGACAAAGTTTATAGCCTACAACAAAAGGTACAAGGTGCAAGGTTACACAGGGTGGATTCATTTCAATTAGACATTAGACGGGCTAATTGACAAAGTGAAAGAACTTTCTTACACATTTTAAAGACAAACAAATTGTTGGAATTTTATTGCTAGACACCTTTTGGCTTACTGCTTTTTTTTTTTGCTATATAACTGGACATTTAATTGAAATTTGTTCATTAGCTGTTTTAATAGAAGAATTGGAAAACCATCATGAATGATAACTCATATACCAATGGGAACCAGAATGATCAATATAATACACAACAACTACAACAACAACAACAACCCAAAGTGCCTATGATGCAACCGATGAGTTTAATTCCTGAAGTTCATCAAAGTCCTGGTGTTGATACCCAAAATAAAGAAAACCCTTTAACAGTGGCAGGTAATCAAATAAATGATAATAACAATCAAGGACAACAAAGTCAAGAAGGTCCACAAGGTCAAGGACAAGGTCAAGGACAACCAATTTATGCACATAATCCAAGTGATCCAAATTTTTTAAAAGATCGTCAAGCTTCATCAATAAGTATAAATTCAAAATTACCTGAAAAATCTGCTATATCAAAAGGTAAATATAGTTTAACTGATTTTCAAACAATGAGATCTTTAGGAACTGGTTCTTTTGGTAGAGTTCATTTAGCAAGATCAGTACATAATGGAAGATTTTATGCAATGAAAGTATTGAAAAAAGAACGTGTTGTTAAAATGAAACAAGTTGAACATACAAATGATGAAAGAAGAATGTTGGCTATAGTAGAACATCCTTTCATTATAAGGATGTGGGGGACTTTCCAAGATTCTCGTCAAGTTTTCATGATTATGGATTATATAGAAGGTGGTGAGTTATTTACTTTATTAAGAAAATCTCAAAGATTTCCAAATCCTGTTGCAAAATTTTATGCTGCTGAAGTTTGTCTTGCATTAGAATATTTACATAGTCATGGTATAATTTATCGTGATTTAAAACCTGAAAATATATTATTAGATAAAAATGGTCATATTAAATTAACAGATTTTGGTTTTTCAAAAGAAGTTAAAGATGTTACTTATACATTATGTGGTACTCCTGATTATATTGCACCTGAAGTTGTTGCAACAAAACCTTATAATAAATCTGTTGATTGGTGGTCTTTTGGTATATTAATTTTTGAAATGTTATCAGGTTATACACCATTTTATGATTCATCACCAATGAAAACTTATGAAAATATTTTAAATGGACAAATTAAATATCCAGATTATTTTCATAAAGATGTTTTAGATTTATTACAAAAATTAATTACAAAAAATCTTTCTGAAAGATTAGGTAATTTACAAAATGGTACAGATGATGTTAAAGCTCATCCATGGTTTTCTGAAGTTATTTGGGAAAGATTATTATCAAGAGATATTGAAACTCCATATGAACCTCCAGTAACTGCAAATACTGGTGATACAAGTCAATATGATAGATATCCAGAAGAGGAAATTGATTATGGTTATGTTGGTCAAGATCCTTATGAACCATTATTTAGAGATTTTTAATTTATTTTGAAATAAAAAAAAGAAAAACAGAAGCAAAAGAAAAAAAGAAGAAAACTATTTACTTTTATGAAAGATTGTTTTATACCCTAATGTATTCTATACTATCTTTTAAAGGTTTTTGTTTTTATTTTATTTAATGTTCATGGCTAATGAAATCATACATTATATGATTATTTTAATGCCTCATTCAATTCTGGTTATACACATTCATTACTTTTATCATTGTTTTATGTTTATGATGTGTTGATTTTTACTCTTGTTTTTTTTTAATGATTGTGTTTTGTGTTTTTAGTTATTCCTTTTTTTTTGCCATCAATTTATGTTAAAATCATTTTGTCATGAATAATGATTATATGGTATATTATACTACATTGATTTTTTTAACAAGTATAGAATTAAAAATTAATTCTGTAAGATCATATAAATATATTTCATATATCATTTTTATATATAATGAATTAAACGTTTTTTAGACTTTTATTTTCAATGATAACCTGTTTTAGCAGCTTCACAAAGATTTGTATTTTGCATCCAAAGTGAATTTAAAACTTCTTTTGTTGTTAATCTTGATTTTGGATTTGGATCCAACATTTGATATAATGTTAATTTTCTTGATTTATAATATTCACCAGATTTCATACTTTCAATTGGTTTAAATTTACCAAATTTTTCTTGTTTTTGAGGTCTTTGTTCTAAATAATCAATATATAATTCATCTGAATTCTTGGCAATCTCCCAAACATAACCACCTGTGTTCATTGTTAAATAAACAACTCCTGTTGACCAAACATCAGCAAATCTTGGATCATATTCTTTAACAACAAATTCTTCAGGTGCAACATAAGGTTCTGAACCACAAGCTCCAGAACTAAAATGACATTCTTTTTCCCATGCAGTTCTAAAAACTGCACTTGTACCAAAATCTGAAATTTTTGCAACTCCTGAAGTTGTTAATAAAATATTTTCAGGTTTAATATCACAATGTGCAACACCTTTTGAATGCATATATGATAAACCTTTTAAAATTTGTTTTATAAAACAATCACTTTCAATATAATGTAATCCATCACCATTTGTTGATAAAATTAATGTATATAAATCACCAGCTGAACAATATTCCATAATTTCACAATAAGCACCTGTAGAACTTTTCATTAAATCTAAAGTTTTAACAATATTTAAATGATCTAATGCATTTGATATAACAAATTCTGAAGTTAATCTTGTACTAAATTGATTTGAATCTTCTTTATCACGTTTTTTCAATTCTTTAACAGCATAAGAAATTTCCTTTTTAGTTGCAGAATCAATTTTGGAAACTAATTTAACTAAACCATAAGCACCTTTACCTATAATACCTTGAGGTTTACCATATTTATCAGATAATTTATAATTTTTAAAATTTAATGAAGGTTCTTCTTCATTATTAATTTTTTCCACTAATCTATTAATTAATTTTAATTGAGCATCACCTATAGCTGCAGATCTTGTTGGATTTGCTTCATCATAATCATCATCATCATCATAATCATCACTTTCATTTTCACTTTCTGAAGAAGAGGACCCAGCTAAATGTTCTTCATCACTTGAAAATTCATTTAAACTTTCTTCTAATTTACTTGATTGAATACTTAATCTTCTTTGGAAATCTGATCTATTTTGTTCAGGTAAAAGACTAAAAGCAACTTCATTTTTAATTGATGTTGAACTTTTTTTCAAAAAACCTGAAAGAATACCAGTTGAATTTGGTAATTTTTCTAAAACTTTACGAGATTTCAATATATGTTCATGTTGACCATTTTCATAAAGTTTAATTGTACCAATAATAGTGTTTTGTTGATGATTTAACCCAATATTTGTAGAAGAATTTGGATTAATATTATGATTTGAAGGAATTATTTGTGGTATTTTAGCTAATGATTGTGATCTTGATCTTGGTTGAGAATTTGGTGAAGTAATTTTTTCATTTCGACCTCTTGATATACCACCACCAATATCTTTTAAAGTTGGAATATAAACATCTGAAGGTTTCCTTATTGTTGGTGGAATTGGATCTTGTATTGAATTTTCAGAACCTTCTTCTGTAAATGTTGGTAAATTTGGTTTTTTACTTGCAATACCATCAATTCCCGCGGATCTTGAACCTAAAGGTTGAATATTAGGTGAAACAGGAGATATAGCAACAGGTTGTGGTGATTTTAATATTTTATGATTTGATGAAGATGAGATTGAACGTTTTGGACCTGCAGGTGTTTGAGGTTGAGAAGTTGGAGGTGAAGATTGTCTTGATGAAGTATTAACAGAAGGACGATTTCCATTATCATTAATTGAAGAAACTTGTCGTATTTTATCATTTTCTAAAGCGGTTTCAGGTTTTGGTTTGATGAATAAGTTTTTAAAAGTAGCAGATAATGAATGAGGTCTTTTTGGAATCACTTGATCTTCAGAAGTAGCAGATGTAGAGCCAGAACCAGAGCCAGAACCATTTGTCACAGTAGATGATGATGCACCAGACCCATTTTTAGTAATTGGCTGTGATCCATTATGAGATTTTGTTGATTTCAATCCTATAGCATGCATTTTGAGCAACTCATCAAATTGATCCTTGATCCTAGAGGCGAGAACTAAAAACAAACAAACTGAACACTGAGCAGAAACACAAGCAATTTGATAACAAGAATACCCTCTAGTGTGATGATCTTGATAGACTGACACCACAAGTGATATATAACCAAGTATTGAACTGAGCGGATGAGCTGGCGTTGTTGATTAAAATATTGTTCTCGTTGCTCAAGAATGTGGTGTGAATGAAATTCTATATAATAAAAAGATCATTCAGCTTCTCGAAATGTTAATAAGAAAAGGATTTTTCTCTTTGGGGGCTTTTTCAATTTAAATTAAAAGAAAATAAGGAAATTACCTGAAATGAGATATTATTATAAATAGTTTAATTTAGTACGTCATCTACAAACATTTCAATTCAATTTACACACCAATGTTTTATACGTATTGTTCAATTTTCGCTATTGTTTGGTGGGATCCGTCACACTGAGTTAAAAGAGAAAGAGATGGGAAGACTTGATAAGATATAAACATATGCGTTCAATCTCAGGTTATAGGATCATCTTCCAATACCTTAGTATATAGATCGCATTTGTACTTGGCCTAAACTGTTTCCAAACTTTTCCAAACCCTTTTAATTGATCTTGATTTCCTTTGTATTATTTCAAACTTCCCTGCATAAATAAAAAATTGTACTTTTTTAATTTTTTAATAGCAAGTCGGAATTTGAATGGCCATACACGTGACTAAAATGAGTCGGAATTTGAATCATGACTCCGATCTTGATTCTTGACTCCCCAATTGACTCGGATTCCGAGAGATAAGTACTGATAAGTATATACTAGAAAACTAATTTATTAAACAAAATCATTAAAATTAAACATATACACACATTATGATGTCTTCAATTCAACCCAATTTTGAACCAATTTAGCTAAAGGAGTTATACTAGCCATTATAACCATCATTGTACCAAACAAAACAAAAGTTAAAGAACTCATTGCTGCAGCTCTTGGATCTATAGTTAATAATTGAGCTGTTGCAATTGCACCACAATTTATACCTAATGTAATACCTCTTGTAACATAATCATCTTCACGAATTCTTAAAACTTTTTTACCAAATATAAATTGTCCAGTTAATGCACCAACAATACCTGAAACAACTGTACAAACAGCCATTAATGGAACTGATCCATCTAATGCTTGAACAAATGGTGTCCCCAATGCTAATGTTATAGATCTTCCTGCAAATCCTAATGAACGTTCACTTGATATACCTAATTTATAACATAATGGTGGATAAATGAAAAAACAACCAAATGACATTAAAAAAATTGGTGGTAATAAAGCCCAAAAATGTCTTTTTAAATCATTTCTATATGTATACATTGGAATTGATAATGAAACAATTGAAACATCCATTAATGTTGAAAAAACATCACCTGCACCAGGCCATTGATTATTTTCTTTATGATTAAATAATTTTAAATAATTTCTTGAAGTTTTATATAATTTTAATGTATCAAGAAAATTTTCATTTTTAATTAATGAAAAAATATAAAACCAAAACCATGATAAACCAACTGAACATAAAACTGGATGTAAAAATTTTTTAAATTTAGGTGGTGGTACTTGTAACATAAATATAAAAGTTGCCACTGCAATTGATAAATGTAAAAACATTGGATAATTTTTAATAAAATAAATTGGTAAACTTACTATGAATAAAATTCCCAATATGAAAAAATCAAAATTTTTATTTAAAAATTGTGCAATAATTAATTTTTTATCAGTTTCCAATATATTACTTTGTTCTAATATTGATCTTTGACAAAATAATTTACGATTTTTAAAACTTGCTAAAATACCTGGATTATTTGGTCTTTTAAGTTGTGCAACTGGTGAAGGTAATGATGGGAATTCTAAAGTATGTTTATCTTTATTTGTTTGTAATTCAACTTTAATAACTTCATCAGAATCAACGTCATCTGATACATTGTTATTGTTGTTATTTGTTGTTATATGTGATAAACGAGATGCTTGTTTAGATAGGTTTAAACTTTTCCTATATTGTTCTTCAATTGAATTTTCATCACCTCTTGGAATATCTTGAACAATAAGTTCTGGATTTGCATTTAATGGAGATTTCATTCTATCAACCATTTCAATTGAATTTAATGAATTAATTGAATCTATAGAACCACGTATAGATGAATTATTACTAGAATTTCTATCATCATTAGGAGGAGGTGATGTTGAACTACCTAAAATTGCAGTTGAATTTGCATTTGAAGGATTTAATTGCCTTTCAGATTCTTTATGATCATCTTCATCATCTTCCATTAAATGTAATTCTTCAGCTCTTTCAACATTTGATCTTCTTGTTGTTTTTAAAATTTTTTGTAAACCAATAGTAAAATATGCAATTATAACAGTTGCAGTGAAATAACCAAAAAGGAAAACAGCTGCAATAGTTAAAGCTTCTTTTGCACTAATCCATGAAGATAAAGGTAAAGTTATAAAAGCTGGAGTAAAGAAAATATTAATCCAACGTAAACTAAAACCACCAGGTATTTCAATAAATTTAACAATTTTTTTTGTCTTTCTATCACCTAAAATTTTTTGACTTGATATTAAAAAAATGTATAATAACAACATACAAGCAACTGAAGATGGGAAATTAATAGTTGTGAGGATAATGACTTCATTAACACCATATAATATACCTAATATAACCAATATACCAAATGGAACTTTTAAATATGAATCCAATATATGTTTTTGAGATAGTTTCAAACCCAATTTAACTCCATGATAAACATCACCAATAACTGTGCGTAACCTAGACATTGTTTTGAATAGATGAATGTAGTAGTTCCAAATACGACAATGATAATAATAAAGCAGCAAATAATAATGGATAATCCCACTGTTTTATACCATTATACCATTATATCCCACAAAAACCACAAGATTGTCTTCTTTATCAGCAACTGTGACTCTGGTTTTTTTTTGGTACTTTTGCGTGGTGGTTTATCAATCATCGTTCAAGCGGATCATCTGCCGTTACGGGACACCTCATAATAAAGAAATACTTTCATTACTACTGGATTTACAAAAGGTACAAACTTTTATATTTAATCTCTATTTACAAGTGCTTTTGTTTCATTCTATTGACAACTCTTTGGTTCTCTATTAATAATGACTTCTTCAGCTGGTGTAGCTTGCGTTATATTTAAAAATTCTTGTAAAATTTCTGAACTATGTTTATCTTTAATATCAATTTTTTTACTTTCACCACCAGCTATTATTATTGTTAGTATATGTTACTTATAAAATATAAGAATTTACTCACCTAAATTAACTTTTAAAAATGCTGGAACTTTTTCATGTTCTGAATCTTTTGTAACTTCAATTCTTGTAACTTGAATTGGTAAATCTGGATTATGAAATTGAACTCTTGGTAAATTTTCTCTCCAGAATTTTCTGAATAATAGTTAGTACTTTGTTCATGTAATCTGTTTGAATACCACTCACCTTGCACCCATATGACCTAATTTATTTGTACGTTTAAATAATAATTCAATTGATTCAACATTTTTTGGAACAACAACTGAACCAGGACCACTCGATATCAAGTTCAATCTGGCCATTTGTCTTGAGTATCTTCCAATAGGAAGCTTTGAGAACATAGCAGTATTGGACATGTTTAATAATAGCAAGATTGATGGATGATCTTTGTCTTTAAATTTGATATAATTTCAATGTTTCCAATGCTTTTCAATTCAATTTTATATTCACGAAAGAAAAAAAAAAAATCGAAAATGCCTGACATTTCCACTCGGGTCAATAATTTCACTAATATATAAGTAAAATATTGAAAACTTCTCATAAAGTGTTAATCAATAAAAGGCTGAATTGAGGAGTATGGGTATAATAGATGATCTCAATTGATCAAGTTTGTGATTTTCGATTCATAGTGGGGGTGGTATGGTGTGATCTTTAAACCTTAAGTTATAAGTTGGGTTTACCTTTGGGTCTAGATGATTATCAGGTATTAAACTATTAAGGTGAATGAAGTTTAAATGAATTATAATTTTAGTTAGATTAAAATGTAGTTTAATTATAGTTACAAGTATATGATTACATTTTCCTACTTTTAATATCAATGACTTAAGATTCATATATTAATCAGAAATTAATAAAATTCAATCCTATAGATTAGTTAGTTAACAAAATACTTGATTATAATGGAAACAAAATCAACAAGTATAGAATCCTTTAATTTCAAATCAGAAGTGCACAAGTTCTACTAAAAACTGGCAAAAGACTTTTCTCTTCAATCCGAAGTCAGTTGTCCCTATCTTGATACTCATCATTTAAAATTGATTCTTTTCCCCCCAATGGTTGATCTTGATTTATATTTTCCAATTGATTATAAACATACTTGATTAATTGAAAACTTGATTAGATCAAGTTCATGTCAGTTAAGATCTGTCTATAGTTAAAGTAGTTTTAAAAAGATGGAAGAAAAAATTGTATGGAAATATTTTTTTTTCTATACCTTTTCAATTCCGACCATTCTCAACCGGAAATATAACCAATGTTCTTCAATTTCAACTACATTAATTAGGGCAAAACATTTAATATACAAAACAATTAACTAAAATTCAAAATCGTCATTTTATCTTATGGTATACATAATTGTATTATACAAAATTATATAGTTGGAATATATTGCAACATCATTGCATCTTCTAATTGTTTCTTTATCATCTTTCCAATCCAGTTTTAAGATGATTCAGTTTTTGGTCCTTCTTTTTCTAATCTTTCTTCAATTTCTCTTAATTCACGTTCTCTTTCTAATAATTCTTGTTTTTTTTGTAATAAATCTTTTTGTACTCTTTCTTCAAAAGCTTTTAATCTTTCTTCTTCTAATCTAATTTGTTCTTCACGTGCTAAATAAGTATCATTTTGATTATTATGTAAACTTGAAGATTTAAATGAACCATCATCTTCTTGTTTTAAGCTTGGTGATCTATATTGTTGATAAGGTGATTTAACACTATCACCAACGGAATGTAATTGTTGAGTTAAATGATCTGGTAATCCACCTCCACTTAAAGCTTCAGTTCTATATCTTTCATAAAGAATTTCATGTGTATGATCTTTTAAATCTTGTAAATGACTAATTAATAATAAATTTCTTAATATAACAAAATCAGATAATTCATGATCTTCAATATTTATAAAACCCCAAGGATATTTTCTACCTCTAATTAATTCTCCATTAATTTCAAATACTTGATTAGATCCAATAACAGAAAATGGAACTAATGATCTTAGATAAGAATTTGTATCAATAGTTTCATTATCATCATTTTCTAAATCATAAGGGAAATTATAATATTCAATTTGATTATGTTTTAAATCTTCCAATATTAATTTTTTATTTAAAATTAATTCTTCACGAGTTAAAGAATCAGATTTACCAATAACTGGAATAATATTTGCTAATCCAGATAATTGTTTTAATAATTCAATATCTAATTCTTTTAATCCATGACCAGTTGGATTAATAAAATATAAAACAGCATGTACTCTTGAATCTTTAAATCTTGGATTTCTTCTAACTCTACTTTCTTCCAATAAGATTTCATCATATTGATGTTTTAAATAATCAGTTATGATATTAAAACTTGAAGAATTATCTAATGAATCACCAAATCCTGGTGTATCAATTATTGATAATAAAATCTTGACACCTTCATTATCTTCCAATTCAACAGTTTCTTCTCTTAAATTGAAATCTCTTTCAGCTGAATCATCTGTTGGTAGTGGGATTGTACTACTGGTATCAACAACTTGTTGACCACATAAACTATTAATAAAAGTTGATCTACCAAGACCTGATTGACCAACAACCATTATAGTAAATTGAATACCTTTTTTCAAAGTTTTTCTCTTTCTTAAAGCAGCAGATGTGACAGAGACCATTGTTTTTCTTTTCTATTTGGTGATAATCCTCTATTTAATATACTGATTGAACCTTTGAAGAATATAAATCCAAAATTCTCAACAATTGAGTATCTTTTCTATTAATATTTTGTTTTGTTTCAAGCAGTTATTTTCGAGTATTTTGAATTTTGGATCAGGAAATTTCCCAAACCAAAAAAACGCGAAATTCCAACGCGAGATCCGGGTAATGAAAACAGGCGCGAAAGTATGGTAGGAGCACTCCCAAAATGAGGTTTTCGAGAAAAATCAATATAAACCAAATGAGTAATGGGTATTAAATTTAATCATCTTGATAAATATCATTGTTTATTAGATAAGTTTACTGTCAAAAATGACTAGAGTGGTGATTATTGACAACTACGATTCCTTCACTTGGAACTTGTATGAATACCTATGTCAAGAAGGTGCTCAAGTAGAAGTTTTCAGAAATGATAAAATTACTGTTGAAGAAATTGAAAAATTAAATCCAGATACTATAGTGATATCTCCAGGTCCTGGTCATCCTAAAACAGATTCTGGTATTTCAAGAGATACAATCAAACATTTCGCTGGTAAAAAACCAATCTTTGGTGTTTGTATGGGTCAACAATGTATCTTTGAAGTTTTCGGTGGTGAAGTTGGTTATGCAGGTGAAATTGTTCATGGTAAAACTTCACCAATTAATCATGATTCAAAAGGTATGTTTCAAAATGTTCCTCAAGGTATTGCTGTTACCAGATATCATTCTTTAGCTGGTACCAAAGGTACATTACCAGATGATTTAGAAGTTACTGCAAGAACAGATTCTGGAATCATTATGGGTGTTCGTCATAAAAAATATACTATTGAAGGTGTTCAATTCCATCCTGAAAGTATTTTAACTGAAGAAGGTCATCGTATGATTCAAAATATTTTAAATATTAGAGGTGGTGTTTGGACTGATTCTCCAGATGTTGCAATTTTCACAGATAAAGAAGTTTCACAAGTTAATAAAAAAATTAAAATTTCTATATTGGATGAAATTTATAATAAAAGAAAACAAGATGTTGAAATTTTAAGTAAAACTCCAGGTTTTACTATAGAAGATTTGAAAAAAAACTTTGCATTAGGTTTAGCACCACCTTTAGTTAATTTTTATGATAAATTAAAAGAAAATCAACCAAAGACAAGTTTAATTGCAGAAGTTAAAAGAGCTTCTCCTTCAAAAGGTCCAATTGATTTACAAGCAAATTCTGCAGAACAAGGTTTACATTATGCAAAAGCTGGTGCTTCAGCTATTTCAGTTTTAACTGAACCACATTGGTTTAAAGGTTCAATTGAAGATTTAAGAAATGTTCGTCAAGCTTTTAATTCTTTATCAAATAGACCTGCAATTCTTAGAAAAGAATTTATTTTCAGTGAATATCAAATATTAGAAGCAAGATTAAATGGTGCTGATACTGTTTTATTAATTGTTAAAATGTTGGATGATGAATTACTGAAAAAATTATATAAATATTCAGTGGAATTAGGTATGGAACCATTAGTTGAAGTTAGTTCTGCAGATGAATTTAAAAGATCTTTGGTTTTAAACCCAAAAATCATCGGTGTTAACAATAGAGATTTACATAGTTTCCAAGTTGATTTAAATACAACTTCAAGTTTAGTTTCATTAACCCCAAAAGATACTTTATTAATTGCTTTATCTGGTATAACGAATAAAGATGATGCTAAAAAATATAAAGATGAAGGTGTTAATGGATTTTTAGTTGGTGAAGCTTTAATGAGAGCTAGTGATATCAAAACTTTTGTTCAAGAACTACTGGATTAATTATCAAGAAAGAAAAAAAAATAAAAGAAAAACAGTAGAAAGGTTATATAATAATAATGCTTGATTCAAATACATTCAACATAGACAGACTTCTTTGATAAAACACATTTGATATAATAAAATTGTAAATAATATATATTCAAAATAAATTGCATTAGAGACGACTACATCTAGGTAAAACTCAATTCAACAAAACACCGAAGTAGATAATATACTATTCATATGTATAAAAGAAAAGCAAAAGAGAAAAAAAAACACAGACACAAAAACAGATAATATTGACCTATATATGTTGTATAACATCAACCAACAATAATTAAACATAAGAATCAAAATCATAAAAAACAGCTAAAATAAAACACATTCTTTATTTGAATTCTAATCTTTCTTAACAGCAGTTGGTGAATGATATCTATTATTTTTAGCAAATTTAATGCCATCGAATTTACCATCACTAACAAGATCCCTTTTAGCTAAAAATTCTAAATCAACTAATTTTGGCCAAAAGACATATTGCATACCATTTTTAGCAATATAATTACCGGAAACACCAAAGACAGTTAGACATGAAGCTAATAGGAATAAATTTTTAATACTGAATATAGAACCTTTTGGGAAAACAACAGCTGCAAAGAATAAAATTGAAGAAGCAATAAAAATATATGGAATTGATTGAGTTAAAGGTGGTCTTCTATCTTCAAATGGTGAATCAACAGCTCCATATGGTGAGAAATTACCTAAAAATAAATCATATGAATCTTGTCTTGGACCATCTCTTAAATTATTTCTATAATATCTTGTAATTGAATTTAATAAATCATTTAATGCACCTTTTTTAGTACGTTTACCGGTTCTTGTGTAATCTGTTTTCAAAGCTCCAGTACCAGAATAAGATTTACTAACAGCATCTGCATTATCAGCCCAGATATTTTGAAATTGGAATAATAATAATTTATCACTTTCCCAAATTGAAGATTCAGGCAGAATTCCAGAAGTTTCAAATTGTTGTTGTAAAACCCAATGACCCAAAGTTGATTGAACAACATTAGTTCTATCTAAACAGTCCATACAGTTTGTTCTAACAACTGATGTTTGTTGATTAATAACCTTGACGTTTTCATTATCTCTAATTTCATGATAAAAATCTTGATTGCTTAAACCTAATCGAGCTAAATGTTCAATTAAGATTTTAACTCTGTGCCATTTTAAGTTACGACATTCATGATGATAATCAAAATAGACATAATGTAATTTTGGATTGTTTAAAGCGTCAACAATACTTTCATACGCATTTTTAACTGGTTCTTCATAACCTTTTGAATTAACCAAATTAACCAGATAATTATCACCATAAAGTTTAACTTGTTGGTCAAAATGTTGCTTTGTAGCCTCTAAAGGTGGTTCACCAATACTTAAATCAGGTTTATAATTCAAATTATTGACTTCTGCCCAATAAACTGGAACAGAACCTCTGGTTTGAATATAACTATAAGTTTCATAACTTGTATTTGAATTATGACGAATTAATAACTGTTCTGTTTCATTATAGTTGGCGACATTACCATCAGCGTCAATACCACGACGGAAATATCTTGTACCAGCACGTAATCTACTTCTTCTTGTGATTAAACCAAATGAGATTGGACTACCATTAGTTTGAGTACGGATAATGTTAACGTAACCATAAATCAATGGGACAATGAATGGATTGAATCTATAATCTTGTTTGGCACCTTCAATCAATTCACTGGCAACGTAATAATTCCAAAAAAATCTATCATCTGCTAATTGCCATAATGGTTTAATTGAACCATTATTTTCATTGATTCGTTGATGAGAATTTGTTAAATCGTAAGTATATGAAAAATATAATTGAGCTGAATCCAAATGAAATTTAAGCAAATCAAGATATTTTTGTTCATCATCATCTTTCAAAAATGAGTTTGATAATGGTAATACTTTATATTCAGCAACTTTTGAGACAGAATGTTGACGGATCTGACCAACTTCTTGAGTATTTGTAGCCACAATGATATAACGAGATGAACGTAATCTAATAACACCAATGATTGCTGCAATTGTGTTGATACCAGTGACGGGGAATAATTCTAATATTATAAATGTTAATATGATTCCTTAACTGTTGATTTTTCATGGATACTTACCAGGTTTCACTAAAGAAGACCCGTTTAATCCAATATGAAGAACAGCTTCATGACCATGTGATGTTTTGAACAAGTAACCGTCATCGGCCTTAGCATATAATAATGGAGACGCCATTTTTTAATCTCTAATAAAATTAGAAACTTGCAAGATCTTTTGAATGTATATAAATTGGAATTTGTGACAACGAAATCTAAACAAATTGCGAGAATTCAAAGTTATTATATTTTGGACAATGCGAGTACCGAGGGCGCTGAAATCACGTGAATTGGACCACCTCGGAAGTCCATTGTGTGTGGGAGATCTTGAATGGATATTGAACTTTTTGCCACAATCTTTGAATAGGTTAACAAAAATCTAGTGGATCAAAGGTCAATTGAGTGCTTCAAATGTCTAATTTCAAACTATCAGCTACATTGGAAGGTCATGAGCAGGATGTGAAAGCCCTGGTATCTCCTTTCAATGATACAATTGTATCTGCTTCTCGTGATTCTACCGTTAAGGTATGGACAAAGAATAATGGTGTCTGGAGCTCTAAAGTGAACTTCACATCAACTGGGTTTGTCAATGCTTTGACATTTGATGCAAAGGAAAACTTGGTAATCTCTGGTGGTCAAGATAAATTGATTAATATAACAGATCTTTTCTCATCAGGTGTTGATGCTAAATATGTACTTATTGGCCATGAAAGTAATGTATGCAGTTTAGATGCTTCAGATGATGAAATTATAAGTGGTAGTTGGGATAGTACAGCTAAAGTTTGGGAAAACAATCAAGAAAAATACACTTTAAGTGGTCATAATGCATCTGTTTGGGATGTTAAGATTTTAGGAGGAAACCGTTATTTAACATCATCTGCTGATAGAACTGTTAAATTATGGGAAGGTTCCAAAGAAATTAAATCATTTATTGGTCATTCAGATGTTGTAAGAGGACTTGCCTTACTACCAGATGGATCAGGATTTGCAAGTACTTCAAATGACGGTACGGTTAGAATATCCGATTTTGAAGGAAATTTAATTCGTACTTTGGTTGGTCATGAAAGTTTTGTTTATTCAATTAAATTCTTATCAAACGGTGATATTGTCACTTCAGGTGAAGATAGAACAGTAAGAATCTGGAGAAATGGTCAAGCTATCCAAGTTATCACCTTGCCATCAATTTCAGTGTGGACTGTATCGGTTCTTCCTAACGATGATATTGTTACTGGTGGTTCAGATAGTGTTGTTCGTATTTTCACTAGAGATGAAACACGCTTTGCATCAAAGGAGGAAATTGAAGAGTTTCAAAAATCGGTTCAAGGTAGTAGTATCAATTCACAAACTGTTGATGACTCTAAGACCGTTGGTCCTGAAGCATTGGATTTACCAGGAAATAAAGAAGGTCAGGTTATTATGGTGAAAACTTTACAAGGGATAGTGGAAGCACATCAATGGAGTGAAGGGAAATGGAATAAGATTGGTGAAGTTGTTGGTGCTAGTTCAAGTGATAAAAAGAAAGTTCATAATGGTGAAAAATGGGATTTCGTTTTCGATGTTGATGTGAAAGATGGCGCACCACCTTTAAAACTTCCTTATAACTCTAATGAAAATCCTTATACAGCGGCTACTAGATTTCTAGAAGCTAATGAATTACCAACATCATATACTGAAGAGGTTGTTAATTTCATAACTTCAAACACCCAAGGTGTCAATATAAATCAAGCATCCGATGTTCATAATCCTTATGTTGATCAAAAGGTCAAAGTTGTTCCACATACTGAATATTTGGGATTTACAAGTAATAATGCTGGTCCATTGTTCAAAGGTATCCAAAAGTTCAATCTTGATGAGAAAACTTTTAGTGATGATCAATTGAGTAAAATCGAAAAAAGTTTAAGCTCGAATGATCTTAAGTTCTTATTATCTGTTGCTACTACAATTATAGACTCATGGAAAAAGCCATTACCAGGCTATGATTTACTGAGATTAATTATTTCAAAGATTGGTAATCCAGCACCTTCAACATTAAATGATGTTATTAATAAAGGGTTAAATACATCTGATCCAGCTATTTATTTTATGACTTTAAGATTATTGAGTAATGTGTTTTCAAATAAGACATGGGGTGAAACACTTGCTACGGACTCCAAGACCATCTCAACTGTTGTTAATCATGTGGCTTTTGATATAACATCTGAACCAAAACATACAGTTAATATTTCAAATGCATTATCTACTGTTTTATTGAATTATTCAGTTTACGCAAGTAAATACAAATCAACCAATGTTGCTGAAAAAATTGTCAAAGTTGTTAAAGAAGCCAGCTCAAAAATTACCTCTGTATCTTCAGAAGCTGCTTATAGATTGAGTATTTCATATGGTAACTTGATCTATACAAAGAGAAACTTGAAAAATTCAGAATTTGAGCAATTTAAGAAGGTGATTTTGAACTCACACACTGAACAGAGATTCTTGGATGCATTATCCGATATTGAAGAGTTATAATGTTTTAAAAAATTTCAAAAGTAATTGATGTTTAAATAGAATTTATCAAATTTGTAGAGATTAAATAGATTTTCGCGATCTCAACCGAAAAAGAACAAAATTATTGATCACGAAAAACATATAGAAGAAAACAGTGCTACCAAATCCACTTCAATATCATTACAAAACAAATTTAACAATGTCTAACGAATTAGAAAGATCACTAGACGAATTGATACACGGCGGTGACGAAGGATCATCAAGAGTATGTTCAATGATTTCTGTTTTTCTTTCTGTTGAAACGTTAAATTTAGATGAAATGTTTACCTGGGAATAACAAATGATAATGAGGTTGCACTTTCAAGTTTATGGTTTTGTGAATTAGAAAAATACTAACGTACAATTTTCAAAGAATAGACAAAGAAGTTCCAGAGGACCAGTAAGTATTATTTGATTGGATTTGTTGAATTGTTATATACTAACAATCATTGAAAGCCACGCCATCCAAGAGGACATAGAGATCGTTCAAGGGAAAGATATAATAATAATCGTTCAAATGATTCATATAGAGAAAGATACGAGGCTCCAAGACAGACTAAAATTCAAAGACTAAGGTATGTATCTTAAAAAGCTTGTTTTGCTCTATGATACGGGACAATAACTAACCAAAATTATTTAAGTAAAGGTAAATCTTATTTGAAAATTAGAAACTTACATTATGAAATCACCGAAGAAGATTTAAAAGTGAGTATAAATATAATTAACTCTTATAATAGTGACACTAACCAAATGACTAGACTTTATTTGAAAAAGTTGGTGAAACTTCATTTGTTTACATTGAATATAATTCAACAGGTCGTAGTACCGGTGTTGCATATGTTGGATATCTTGATCTTGAAAATAATAAAGTAGCTGTTGAGAAATTTGATGGTAAAAAGGCTGTTGGTGAAAGAATCTCAGTTGAAGAAATCAGACCACTGAATATTTTATCTATAGCTCCAAGAGGTCCAAGGGGATCAAGAGATGATAGAGATAGTAGAGGATCAAGAGGTCGTGATGTACGTGGTCCAAGAAGAGACACAAGACCAAAGAAACCAACATTAGAAGATTTAGATGCTGAATTGAGTAGTTATATGAATGGTGAAGAACTACCAAAGAAAGAAGAACATACAAATGGTGATTCAAGAAATCCATCAAGACCTCGCCGTCAAGCTAAACCAACAGTTGAGGATTTAGACAAGGAACTTGATTCATATATGAATAACAAACCTTTTCCAGCAACTGGGTCTGAATGAAATTTTGTTTGAAAATGTTGAATAAAAGTTAAGGTTACAAGAGTTAAAAGTTACAAAAGTTTATAGTATTAATGTATTAATATGTATTTTTTTTTCAAAATTAATATAATTGTACACAATCTCTATCCAGCTTCCATCTTTTCTTTCCTATGTTTCAAATATATATACAGAAAACAATATTATTCTTTTAAAATTTTTATGTGAAGTTTAATAATCAAAAATTATTAATTGGAGATTATGATTTAATTTAGTGACCTTTACCAATTTCGATTGATGGTGGACAGTTCAAAGCTGGTTTTAATGAACCGTAGATGGTGAATTGTAATGAGGTTAAAGTACCAACCATAACTAAACGGGTTGGTAAACCGGCGAATGAACCAACGAAACCTAATTGTTTAGCTAAAGAACCTAATAAACCAATAGTTGATTGACCTGGAGCTTTTTTGGTTTTGTTGACTTTTGATAATAAGGTATCAGCTGGTTGAGAAACAATGGCTGCAGCGAAACCAGCAGTTAAACCAGAAGCTAAGTTAATAAGAGTATGGGTTGATTGAGATAATTCAGTTTTTGGAGTTGGGAGGAAACCGTAGTATAATTCAGCAGCTCTTTCGTAAACCAAGAATTTAGCAATGTTGTAAGGAATTTGTTTGAATAAGATTGGAGTGAAACCGTTGTAGAATGAACCTAAACCTTCTTCTTTTAAGATTCTTGAGAAACCACCAATTAAACCATCAGCGAAATCTGGTTGAGAAACTAAACGAATTCTGGTAGCTTCTAATGGACATAAAGCAATATCAGCAAAGAATTCAGCAATAGCAGCAGAACCAATGTAAATGGAGTTTTTGTATTTTGAAGCAGTTTCGTAACCTAAGAAATCAATGAAGGTTTTTTTGAATAATTCATAACCACCGAATTTAAAAGCACCTTGTAAAGAGTAACCAGCAACAGTTGGACCTAAACCAGTTAATAAAGCACCAGCACCTTCAGATGAGATAACTTGTCTGAAAGAACCAATAGTACCTTTGTTGTAGGTAACTGGATCTAATTGAATTCTAGTTTTAACAACATCAATTGGAGTCATGGCACCATGAGTAACACCACAACCAATGGCACCAGCCAAGGCGAATTTGGAGTAATCAGAGACGGTATAAGAAGGAATAACTGGAGCAGCAGCAGACATTATGCTAGATAGAATATGAAATAAGTGTCTATAGAGTCAATCTATAAGTCTATAATTTCAGATATAAATTGTAGAAGAAAAGGTTTTCAAAATCAAAGGGGCAAAATTCAAAAGTGTTGACAAATGAAAAATTTACAAACGTTTTACGCGAAAAGGAACGAAAATGAAGTGGACAAACCAGGCGGCAGCTGGAGAAATACGGGACGGTGATTGGCTCGTTCCCGGGACGCGTTGATAAAATTTGGTATTTGAAATACTATATATAAGAGATCTTGAAGGGAAAATTGTGTGATGTTATGATTACCTGAGAAGTGGACACTAGTGATGGAATAATATTCAACGTATTTGAGACCCTTAGATTAAAAAGATTCAGTTCAATGGTTAGAAATGGGTTGAGAACTTGGAATCTGGGTATAATATTATATACCAGATTCGGTACGTAAACTCCGTAAAGACCCTTTAATAAATGACAGTTATATAGCTTGTCCTACTACAAATTACCCATAATTTTAAAGCATACAAGCTTTATATAAATCAAACATACGGCATTCATTATGAAAAATTATTTAAGCTGTTTTACCAAAAGCAAATCATAATTTTCCTCTTTACTTTGTGTAATATCAAGTTGTAAAGTTTCCGGATCTAAACCTGTGATAACTAATCCATGGAGTTTCGTTTCTTCAAGATATTCTTCAGAGTTGTGTGCAATTTTCAATTCGTTCAATCTTGTTTCATATAAATCTTGGTCACCTTTCATATATACCGTTATTGAATGAATATTAAAAGCAAATTGTCTCAATAAATAAAATACTAAAGAATCATTTTGAGGTTTAGAAGAATCTAAAACAACGTCAACATGAGTGATTTTAGATTCATTATTTTTGATCAATATGGCAAATTGTGAATATAATAACGAGAGATCAATATTTGAGATCATTGTTGAGTCAAACTCGTTGACAGCATAAATTAATAAATCATCCATTGTATCTGAAATTTCAGTTAGTAATTCAAATTTATCCTCTTTAACAAAATACCTTAGGTCACTAATAAATGGAATCTCATTGAATTCAAAAATCTTATTCAGTAGTTCCAGTTGTGGGTTATATGTCATTTCTTTATTGGATGACGCACCAATTAAATCAGTTGTTCTTTCAGTCAATTCTTGTAAATAAATGGCATGGAAAGGTGTGATTTTATTCTCTGAGTTGACTGTATTTGAACTATGACCATAAAATAGTTCCAAAAAGTTTAACAAAGGTAAAAATCCATCAACATCTTCCACATTATAGACCAATTTACGTAAGTTATAATCCAGATTATTCAGTTTGGCATCATTGATATTTGATAAATCATCTTTTATATCTCCATTCTTTTGAATATAATCTAAAGGTTTACCTTCCCAATCAATTTCACCTCTCAAGTATTTTTCAACTTTTTCACGATACCAAACAGGATAAACTAATAAGGTCAATGGTGTAGTTAAAAATGTACTAACTAGTGTCATGACAACAAACATGGAAAAGACTTTATGTGAGATTATATCAGCTGTTAAACCGACATTCAAAACCACAATTTCCACTATACCTTTACATGACATCAACACACCAACAGCCAATGATTCTCTCCATAAAAGCCCATTAAACTTTGCAGAAACATAACCACCAAATATTTTACCCACCATAGCAATAACAATGATACCTATAATATAAGCCCAGTCAATACCTTGATTTAGCTCAGCAAAGTTGACATTAAACCCAGCCAATGCAAAATAAATTGGAATTAAAACAATATGAACTAAATCTTCAATCTTATTTGTCAAATCAATAACAAAACCATATTCTCTAGGAACAATAACTCCAACAAGGAACGCACCAAAAATTGGATGTGCGCCTATAATATCAGTAAAAAAACTTGAAATGAACACAAATATTAAAATAATCATTATAGAGAATCTTGATAATGAGCCTTTCTTCAAATCTTTACGCATAATAACTTTACGTAAAAACCATCTCATTGGGAAAATAACAAATAATGCCCAGCCAATAACAACGAGTAAAATATATAGTGTAGTTATACCACTACCTGCATTTGCTAAAGTAACACTTAAAGCTAACAACATCCAACCAACAACATCATTTGTAATCCCAGCAGCTAAAACGATTGTACCTACTCTTTCTTTTAATAGTCTTAACTCTGTTAAAATTCTTGCTAAAACTGGGAAAGCTGTGATACACATCGCAACAGCTATGAAAACCATATATGTTGTAAATTTGATTGTAGGTTCACCATCTTGAACAACTTTATATTGATTATAGATCCCCACAGAGACGGCACAACCCAAACCAAAGGGTATAGCCATATTAACAAGACCAACACTTAATGCAATTTTAATGTTTTTCTTGATAAATTGAACATCAACTTCTAAACCAACAAGAAATAAAAATAAAACAACACCAATATTTGCAACCAATGTCAACAGTGGTATAGATTCTTTAGGAAAACAAGTTGATGTAAAGTCTGGAATTCTACCAAATACACTAGGTCCTAGCAGGATACCAGATATAACCTCTGCTATAACTCTGGGCTGTTTCATATATCCTAACGGAAGGTGTATTATTTGACATAAGGCAATGATAAATATGGCTTGAAATAAAAATAGAGTCAATGGGTTTCCAGAAGTAAACTTCAAAGGATCTCTCCCTGCAATAATACCAGCAACAGAAGATGTATCTACAGCCATTTTTGAATAGACTCTTTGAATTCCTTCTGAACTGTCTGTGAACCTGGTAAATTGTGATTGGTATACGTTGTAACTTGTGTAGTTATCTTTTTGAATATTATTTCGCGGGTAGTAAAGATAATTCTCGCGTTATAATAAAATTCTCAGCCTTCCCTGCAGCATGCAACTACGTGGAAAATGAGATTCGAGAATACGATATCACGATTAATCTTCGCACACTATCAAAAGATCAAAACCTGGGAACCTTTCAATTATAGTTACGTGTTTAAGCTACCATCATTACAAGAACTCTTTCATTATCTAAGATCATAAATTTAATATACGTCAAAATTATCAGCTAACAGCTCTGTTCCCAGAACTCTTGTAAATCCTTAGCTCTAAACTTCATTGCCCAACCAGTAGTGGATTCAATCTCATTCAATAGATTTATTACTATTCTATGTTCATCATCATGTGTCAAAATCTTACCAGCTATATACAAGTTTTGAACTGCATTATTCCAACATCCGTGATGATCATTATGAATACTAGTGGCAACTATTTGTTTTGCATGCCAAGTTGGTGATTTAGCTTCTTGAGGTGTGATTTTATATAATCTAGGTTTATTCTCCATTAATAAAAT